GGATTACAGGCGTGAGCCTGGCCAATCACCATAATTTTAGAACATTTTCATCATCCCCAAAAGAAACCTCTAACCTTTAGCAGTCACTCACGCCGTTCCCTCCCCCAGCCCTAAGCAACTAGGAATCTACTTTCTGTCTCTACAGATTTGCTTACTCTGCACACTTCACATATTCACACAAAATGAGATCTTTTGTGTCTGGTTTCTTAACATGATGTTTTCAAGGACTTCTCCTGTTGTAGCAGGGATTAATACTTCCTTTCTTCTTATTGCTGACCAATATCTGATTTGCACGGATATGGCACATCGTGTTTATTCACTCATCAGTTGACGGGCATTTGGGTTTTTCCCACTTTTTGGCTACTGTGAATAATGCTGCTAAGAACATTTGGGTCCAAATCTTTGTGTCAATATATGCTTTCATTTTTCTTAGCCATATAGCTAGAAGTAGAACTCCTAGTTCACAGGGTAATTCTGTTTAACCTTTCAAGAAACTGCCGGACCATTTTCCACAATGCCTGCATCATTTTACGTTCCCACCAGCAATGTATGAAGAGTCCAACCTCATCATGTCCTCAACAACGCTTCTTACTGTTTTTCCTTTGTGACAGACATCCTAGCGAGTGTGAAGCAGTACATCATTGTGGTTTTGATCTACATTTCCTCAATGGCTAATGATGTCGGGCATCTTTTCCTGTGCTTCTTGACCAGTTGTATATCTTCTTTGGAGAAACGTCTATTCAAATCCTTTGCCCATTTTTTTTTTTTAAAGAGACAGGGTCTCACTCTCTTGCTCGGAATAGAATGCACTTGCTATATATTTTGTAGATTCCAGCTCCTGATCAGATACATGATTTATAAAATTTTTCCATTCTGCGGGTTATCCTTTTACTTCCTTGATGGAGCCCTTTGAAGCACAAAGGTTTTTAATTTTGATGAAGTCCAATTTATCTTTTTTGTTAATTTATGTAACAACAAAAGAAATGTGTTTAATTCTAGATTGCCAATTGTTGTAGCTCGTGCTCTTGGTGTCCTATCCAAGAAACCACTGCCTAATCCAAAATTCTGATGTTTATGCCTGTTTTCTTCGAAGACATTTACGGTTTTAGGTGTGTGATTAATTGGGAGTTCCTTTTTGTACATGGCATGAGGTAGGGGTCCAACTTCATTCTTTTGCACGTGGAGATCTAGTTGTTCCAGGACCATTTGTTGAAAAGACTGTTCTTTCCCTCATTAAGTTATCTTGTCAAAAGGGAATGTGTTTCTCTCTGGGCTATGACCTAGGTTTGCAGTGACGTGGCTAAACCCACCAAGAAGGTCGGCATGGTCGGTAACCGCCATGGTGCCTTCCTCAGGAAAATGAAGAAAGTTGAAGTCAACCAGCCTAGTACACCTGCTCCTTTATATGTGGTCTTCGGTTTTTGTGTGGATTCGAATAAACATCTGGGGTCACTTGCTTTGAGATTAAAGAGTTTCCTTTAGTGTCTCTTGTAGAGTGGGCCAATTGACCTTTTTGCAGGAAAGTCTTTGGCCCAACACAACACAACACGCATGGGAGGGGGTTAATTAGCCAGTGTCTTTTTGGTAGACACTTAGGTTGTGACAGTTCAGAAAATTTGTGGGAGAGGGGCATGATGGGTTGTGGGGAGGTCAAGGGACCAGGCCAGCCCTTCCCTGTCTGGGATCCCCTCCCCCGGTGGAACAGCAAGTGAGGGGAACTCTGTCTGAACGGCACTGCCGCGAGATCCCACCAGGTGGCAGCAGAAACTCCGTCTGCCTCTGCCCAGTCCAGGTCGACAGGCGGAGGCACTGGTGTGGTTTGCAACCGGGTTCAGATTACACCGGCTGATCCCTGGTGCAGGGCCACTCTGGGCCTCACCTTCCCCATTCACAGAATGGGGCTGGTAACAGTCCCCAACCTCTAGAGCGGATATGAGAGATCGAAACGGCATACGACTGTTTGGACTGGGGAAGTCAGGCCCTGCCCCTTCCCTGGTGCTTGAACTCACTGTTCTGGGCCTCAGTGTATCCAAGCTGCGGGGAGGGGACAAGCGGCTGGGAAGAGATCCTGGAAGTGGAGAGCAGAGTGTGTAGGGCAAATCGGATCCCAGGAGGACAGGGGAGGAGGAAGTGGGGGAGAGGGAGGGCTGGGACCCTGCCCCTGCCTTGGGGCCTGACCCTTCTAGCTCCAAGGCCCGGATGGGGGTGACTCCGGCAGCTGGAGAGGAAGGTGGGGCTTGCAGGGAGGGGGCGCACAGTGATGTTCTGCCTGATGTTTGTTCCAAAACTTATTTATTTACTTATTTATTTTTCGAGACAGAATCTTGCTGTGTTGCCAGGCTGGAGTGCTGCGGGGTCATCACAGCTCACTGCAGCCTCAAACTCCTGGACTCAAGTGATCCTCCTGCCTCAGCCTCCCAAGTAGCTGGGACTACAGGTGCACACCACAATGCCTGGCTAATTTTTCTGTTTTTAGTAGAGACGGGGTCTCACTCTTGCTCAGGTTGGTCTTGAACTCCTGACCTCAAGCGATCCTCCTGCTCTACCTCCCAGAGTGCTGGGATTACAGGCGTGAGCCGCCTTACTTGGCTTGTTTATTTATTTATTTTACATTTTGGTTGCACCCGAGAGATACCAAGGCCCCCTCAAGGGGCCTTTCCCGGTGACACACTGCCCTGGAAGCAGCCCCTCCCGGATGCCTCCACCCAACCTCTGGTCACGCAGGAGTCCGCGCCCAGCCGAGCCGGACAGTCTGGTCCCGGGCAGCTGACCGCAAGCTGCACATCCCTCTGCCTCTGTCACCAGCATTCGGTCAGGCCAACAGGAGTTCCTGGTTGGCAAGGCAGCCCCAGGGCGCCCCTGTCCTCCCTGTCTTTCTTCTTCCGAGGGACCTTCAAGGTGCGCATTTGTTAATCCAGGATCCCGAGCCAAGCCCCAGCTTGGATCACTGCAGGTCCACAATGCCCATCTGTCCCCGTCCTGCCCACTCCCTTCCCTATTGCAGCTATTGGCACCTGCATCCTTCCAGGGCTGGCCCCGGGACCAGGGAGAATGCCAAGATCCTGCCCCTGTCCCTTGGCCCCTACACACCCCAAAGCCGCTCACTTGCACGCGCCCCGGGTGCCAGGTGCTGGCCTCCTGCCCCTTCCTCTCCTGCCTCCAACTGCTCCTGCTCCCAACCCTCCTAAGGTTCCTCCTCTGAATTCATTCATTCATTCATTCATTCACTGAGT